TCGTATCGAATTGAATGGATTAAAATTGATAACGTGACTGAGATTTTCAGGAATGCCTTCGTGATTCCAATTGAAGCTTAATGAGTTACTTCCGGTACCGCGAGGGGAGGGGGAGATAGGATTTTCGTAAGTGTTCGAAACCCTGAACATGAAAAAGTGAAATTTTTTGATTTAAAATTTTTTTTTAATTAATAATATTGGTTAGGTAATAGTGGCAACGTCGCCCTGTAAAAAGTTTTTGTGGAACAAGTTGGTAGCATTGGCTCATTAGGCTATTTTAGTTAGATGTTATTGTTTACTTTCGCTTTGACCATATGACTACATCAATATTAGAAATTAATAGTACAAAATTAATGATTAAAGGTAAATTGCCGGTGACCATTGAGTGACCATTCTGGTTCGATCAATGAAAATCGATGAAAAATCTCGAAAACCCCAAAGAATTCATGTGATTTCGAGTATCAGTCATATTTTAATTCAATGCGCTCGAAATTTTTGAAAAAGTATCAAAGGAGCGTGAAGATCGAGGAGATATTCGCTGAAATTGAAAAATTTTGAATTACCAGAAAATAAAATTCACCCAGTCGACTGCTCCCTCTGACAGCGGGACTGCTACTGAGGCAGTTATCGAGTCGGCTGACGGGTAGACACCCCACCATTGGGTGCGGCCCCCTCTTTCTCTTGGGTTGAGGTAGTACAATGGTGGGGTTACTCAAACCCCCCACTGAGCGGCCCAGTTCTGGGGGGGAGTACCTGACCCTAAGAGAAAGTGGGGGCCGCACCCAATGGTGGGGTGTCTGCCCGTCAGCCGACTCGGTAAATGCCTCAGTAGCAGTCCCGCTGTCAGAGGGAGCAGTCGACTGGGTGAATTTTATTTTCTGAAAATTTTAAATTTTTCAATTGCAGTGAATATCTCCTCGATTTTCATGCTCCCCTGATACTTTTTTGAAAATTTCGAATTTTTCAAATTTCAGTGAATACCTCCTCGATTTTCATGCTCTCCTGATACTTTTTCAAAAATTTCGAATTTTCAAATTTCAGTGAATACCTCCTCGGTTTTCATGCTCCTCTGATACTTTTCGATAAATTTCGAAATTTCAAATTTCAGTGAATACCTCCTCATTTTTCATGCTCCCTTGTTACTTTTTTGAAAATTTTTAATTTTTCAATTTCAATGCATACCTCCTCGATTTTCATGCTCCCCTGATACTTTTCGAAAAATTTCGAAATTTCAAATTTCAGTGAATACCTCCTCGTTTTTCATGCTCCCCTGATACTTTTTTAAAAATTTTTAATTCTTAAATTTCAGTGAATACCTCCTCGATTTTGATGCTCCACTGATACTTTTATAAAAATTTCTTTCTTCTTCGATTTCTATGTTCCCCTTATACTTTTTCAAAAATTTCGAAATTTTTCGAAAAGTATCAGGGGAGCATGAAAATCGAGGAGGTAATCACTGAAATTGAAAAATTAACAATTTTTAAAAAAGTATCAGGCGAGCATGAAAATGGAGGAGGGTATTCACTGAAATTGAAAAATTACAAATTTTCAAAAAAGTATCAGGGGAGCATGAAAATCAAGGAGGTATTCACTGAAATTGAAAAATTTTAAATTTTCAGAAAATAAAATTCACCCAGTCGATTCGTCCCTCTGACAGCGCCACTGCTACTGAGGCAGTTACCGAGTCGGCTGACGGGCAGACACCCCACCATTGGGTGCGGCCCCCTCTTTCTCTTGGGGTCAGGTACTCCCCCCAGAACTGAGCCGCTCAGTGGGGGGTTTGAGTGACCCCACCAGCATTGTAGTACCTCAACCCAAGAGAAAGAGGGGGCCGCACCCGATGGTGGGGTGTCTGCCCGTCAGTTGACTCGGTGACTGCCTCAGTAGCAGTCCCGCTGTCAGACGGACCAATCGACTGGGTGAATATTATTTTCTGAAAATTTTAAATTTTTTAATTTCAGTGAATCCCTCCTCGATTTTCATGCTCCCCTGATACTTTTTTGAAAATTTCAAATTTTTCAATTTCAGTGAATACCTCCTCGATTTTCATGCTCTCTTGATACTTTTTCAAAAATTTTGTTTTTTCAAATTTCAATGAATACCTCCTCGATTTTCATGCTCTCCTGATACTTTTTCAAAAATTTTGAATTTTCAAATTTCAGTGAATACCTCCTCGATTTTCATGCTCTCCTGATACTTTTTTGAAAATTTCGAATTTTTCAATTCCAGTGAATACCAATTTCGTAACACTTAAAATAAAACGCCACTTCTATTGCGCGTAGCGCCATCTTTGATAAACAGTATCAGGAATTGTGGCTTCCGGCAAGAATGAAACAGTTTCGTTACGTCATTCTGATGTCACTTTTCTGGCGGTTAATTTAAACGTTACGTATAAAGCAATACTGAAAATGCACCTGGGACTTCCTTCTGGGAATAACCACATGTTCATCATAACGAATATTTATTATTAATTCTCGAGTAATCACTTCATTGAGTGCGTCCATGTATTATAGAGTGGTACATTAATTCGTCAAAATATTCTGAATAATATATCCGAGTTGGTATTTAAACTAATTAAAAACTAATCATGATCCAATGCCTTGGCCAATTATCTAATCACCATTTATCCATAATTTCCATGCTGTACTGTATTTCAAAATTTATTTAATAAGTCGACGAATTAAAAAAACGTTACAAAAAAATTATAGTTGCAGTTAAATTGCCACTTTAAAACGCAAAAAATGCATTCTGTATTTTCCATTTCACGTTCAAATGAAGTTGATACCACGAAGTTCAGAACACTATTTGTTTTTTATTGGAAAACATTAATTGATATGTCAATGATGAACCCCTCCAATTTTTTCTTTCGGGAATAGTTTTGATTTCGATTTTTGTTATTATTTTTCATAAGCTCCCTCTTATATTTCAAACCAACTCGATTAATTATTAGTTCAACTTTTTTCAGAGTATAAAGGGAATTTCACTGCGTCAGGATAATTATCATTTGTTTTTATATACTAAAATTTTTGCAAATTCATTTTATTCAGATTAATATACAAATATTTGGAGTCGCAATAATTAAATATGAACAAATTAATGCGATTGAGAATATGCCTCAAAAATTCGCCCCGCATCAAACAACTAATTGATAACCAACGAGGCGTGATAACTAATAGCAACTGGCAACTTTCAGTCTGACTTAATGAATATTCGTTTATATTTAATTCCCTGTGAGTGCGGATTTACTGGGATTTCAGCTTAAATTTACTGTAAATAACTTTCCGGCACGAATAACTGAGTTATTAGTTATTCTTATGTAGAGCATTAATTATTGCATTCAATTTTAACCAAAATTATCCGACACTTTCTACCGAGGATTTCACCCATTTTTTAAACTCCAACATCACTAGTTGAATAAACCAATACATTTGAACTGACCCATAAAAAATTATCGGGTTTCGAATGACTCTCCATTTACTAGTTTTTCCCAATTTTCCTGTTAATTTCAGAATATTTGTTCTCTTCTTCATTTGAAAAAGCAAACAATATTAAAAACGCCGGCATTTCCAATGTTTCAATCACCCGCTGGATTTTCTCTCTCAATTCAAACATGCAACACCTATGGATTCTATCAATTCTTCCCTGAATGTTTTGTTTCAATATCGAAACCAAAATAAAAAAACAAATTTTAAAACAATCATTTCCGAAAATTTACTAATACCACTCTGGAGTGAGTGCGGAGTGAGAGATAGTAACGAGAAAAGTTTTTTTTTTCAGCGAAAAAATATGTTTCTCTGTTTGCTGTGTGTTGAGGATACGCAGGAAGCAGCATGTCGTTACGGCTATTGTCTACGGTGAAATTTGTCGGATATGTGAGAATGGAGAACAAAACAACAATGTGTCCAGTATGGAAGAACCAAGTGGTGAAGTAATCGCAATATGTGACGAGAGGGAAACAACAATTTGCCCACTCGTAACCTAGATAAAGAGAACTATTTCCACAAGCAGACAAAAAATGTCCAAAACCTTGAGGATAATCAAATACTCTGGAAATTCGTTTTCCTTGGAATTTCCCCTTTCATTCGTAAAACTATATCACAACTTGTTATACCATATTTTCTCTGTTGTTAGGGTACTAAATCCGATCAATTACAAATTTTATCAATTTTTCAGGAATTTTCAAAAGGTGTGGAATATAATAATTAGATAAAATTTGTTTTACGATAACTTGAATTAATTCTTTCCTTTCATTTTCTTAATGATCCTCTTATAAACTTTCTGTAATGAGGTATCTTATCGAGCTTATCGATATCAGATAAATGCCGCTGATATTGATGACTTGAGGATAAAATGGCGCCTCATTGTCTACTCAGGATATGAGAACGATCGAGGGACGCAGGGAATTACAAACCGGCAGTAGCGGAATGTCTCATGGTAGTAATCGCTCGTGAATAATCTATTCGGTCGATTCGACACAATTACTTAGGACACAAGTCCAATATAGTCACTCTTCAGGGCATTTCGCGATACATTTTTTCCATGGACTTTTTTATCAATCGTCATTACCAGGTACATATTGTTTTGGATGATGAGTATAAAAAAACGAAGCGGAGTTGGCGAAAAAACATTTTGATAAATTATCTGGACATATTTCTTCCCTTTATCATTGAAGAGGTAAAAATTGCCGCCTCATTTGCTATTCAAGATGCAAGAAACGATGAGGCGACTTCGAAAATGATACCAATAATTAATGAATAATTTGTTCGCTCGATTTGGCACAAATACTGAAGATTTAGGTCCAAGAATCTCTCTTCAGGATGTCTGGTCATATATTTTTTCAATGAATTTTTTATAAATTGTTATCATAACTACGTACTTTTGTATGTTCATTTTTTTCGTCTTCATTGTTTCAGATGAATATAACAAAACGCACATTCATACAATGCGAGACTGGACGAACAATCTAATGCATTACTCATATACTTTATTTTTGTTTTCAGTGAAACCATTGACCGTTAAAATATTCGGCAAGGTGAAAATCGTATCGGCCGCCAAAAAGTACGAGATCAAGTGCCGGAGTACGGGGTCTAAGCCCCCCGCGGAATTAACGTGGTGGAAGGGTTCAAAACAACTGAAAGGTCGAGTGAAAAATGTAAGTACCACCATCACTCCTTTTTATATTAAATATTCATATGACATGAGTTGAAAAGTTGAACTGATAAAAATTTAAAGATTGTTCATTGTATCGAAAATTCCTGAATCAATGATATTCAGATTAAAATTGATAAAAATATGAACATCTGTTAACAAGCGAATGCTTGGTGTCAAAAAGCTCTAAGAACAATCAATCAATGATTTTTGGTTTCTTCGTGGCTTTTGTTTTTTTTAAATTTCTGGTAAACAGCTATCAATCTTGATACATTTCTCTCGTATACGTCAAAAGCAAAGACCACAGAGACTTTTCATGGTGCGAAAGAAAAAATAAAATCGATATAAGAACACAAGGTTATTTGAGCACCAATGAGGGGAACAAATTATACTCTCATCAAGTTGAAGGAAATGTCAACCGCCAGCCCAAGTGTGTGCTTTTCACCCTCTTAGTCTCCCCTAATCTTCCATTTTCAATGCCTTTACTTTTCATTTTTTTTCCATTCCCACCCCTCGAGACCACGACGAATGGCGTTACCAAGTGCTTTGTTTCCTAGGGTTTTTTTCCCACTCGAATCTAGAAAAAAAATGAGGTTGGGAAAAAGAACATTTACCCTCGCCAGGGAGGGGTTGAGTAATATTCTGTATGGGGAAAGATAATGAGGTGAGGTCGGATGGAAGCGAAAAAGCTGTTTAATATTTTTAAGGTGAATAGACAAGTGGAGAATATAAGTTTTTCTTTTTTTAAAGGAAGTTCATCCGTCCGCAGATGAGTTTTTGGTGCCAATATAAAAATTGCAAAGTGGATTCCGCTTCCAAAAAATCAAATCCCCCGGGAAGTAAAAAATTCTGTACTCAGTAAAACTTCTGTCCCTCTTATATACTCGATTAATCCTCACTAAAAGAATCTCCAATCTAGGCCAAACCTATCGAGCCTCGATCTCAACTAGAAAATGAATATCCGCAAATAATCTCATTCCTTTTTCATCTCTCCAATGTACATTCCGGAGCCTCAACCAACGCTACATCAAATCCCTTGAATTTCAAAGTGTCTCAGGGGCATACAGTTCGCCTCCACCGGAAAATCTGAAAATATTCACATTAATTTTTCTTATTTTCCCTTATTCTCGGCATGCCGCCCTCTCCGCCATCGGCTATTTGTACTCATGAATGTTTCACGCTTGTCCCATTTACCCAACAAAAACGTAATTCCATCATTACTCGTTAAAAATTCACTTGAAAATAACAAAATCGTGATTCAAGATTGAATGATGCCGTTTCTCCAAAACTCCATTACCGTTAAATTGCCATTTTAATTGAATTCAATATTCTCAAAGAAGATGAAAGCAATGGCGATAAATTGAGTGGGTTGGGTAAAGGGGTGAATAAATGAATGGTTTTAATCATCTTTGGTTCTGTTCAACTATTTTTTACCCTCTTTTTCACCCCCTCCCTGTCCCACATTTCCCTCTACTTATTTTTTTGTAAAGTGAAGTGGGGGGGGGGGGGGGGGGGGGGGGGGGGGGGGGGGGGGGGGGGGGGGGGGGGGGGTGAGAGGAAGAGAGGGGGTCCATGCCAACAGCATTTTCGCTGAGGTTGGGCTACTGGGTGAATGGGGTAAAATGGAAAATTGCGAGTGGCCTCAAAGAATGAGAAGAAAAAAGAAAAAAACAACGCACGAAGAAAGGGAAAATGGAGAAGTGAAAGAAAAGAAAAAAACATGGAAAACAGGGAGGGCGAGGAAAAGTAGGGGGGGGTTGAAGGGGTGAGGTGGAATGAAAATAAAGGGATGAAAAAGCGGCCGGCAATGGGCCGGGCGTGGTCGCGTGCCAACTGCACTCCACTGAGTCTTATACTTTTCCATTGCGACCCCTTCTTATCTTTCTTGCAATTTCGAATAACGTCGAGGCTGTCTCAGACGCCTTTTAACTTTACTCTCTATTTTCTCAGCCAGTAGCCCCTCGGATTACAGGGGACTATAAATATTTATGCTGTTTTCACTGCATCTGATTCTGGCTCTGTATCGCTTGGATCATTAATCGGAGTATAATGCAGATTGCGAGGAAATTCATTGCAGTTTATTTATTTAGTTCGCTTTTTCTTGCGAATTAACGAATTATATTGTAATCTTTAAATTTCAAGTCTCCGGTTTTATACGGTAGGATGATTTAATTGGGACTTGGGAATCAGACTATAATGTCTCCAGTTGTCTCTGCATGGAGAGAAAAATACTGGAAAAAGTACGTAAAAAGTTCCGTAAAAATTCATGTGTGAGAAGTAAACGTGGGGCGAAATGTAAAATCGAAAAAAGCGTCGATCATTCAGAATATTATACAACTCGGTCGGTAAAAAGTCATCTTTAAAAGTAGAAAAATTACGGTACTCAGTTCCGTAAATTTCGCCGAATTGTTTCGTAATTGTTCTCCAAACTTTTATTTTTCAATAATAATAATTGAGGGAGACGATATTTAATTAATAAATGATTTGATTGGATCAAAATTTCAAAAATCATCTGTAATGTTTTTTTATCCTTCCGACAATAATAATCTGCCGGGTGACGTGATCCGAACTTGGACAACGATTCGCGATCGGATATGACCAACAGTCGTGCCATCAATGCTGTCTAGGAATTTTTCAATTCGGTTACGTAAAAATTACGGTACGTCACGTAAAATTTAAATGAAACTGGAGAATTTTTACGTTACTCGGAATAATTTTTACCGGAACTGTGGTAAATTTTCCAAGTTCGTAAGAAATTACGTGACAGTCACGTAAATTTTCCAGAGCAAATAATAAAATTTACTGTTCGTCTTTCATTTTTTCCCAAATTCTCCAGTAAGAAACAAGGAAATGACACTCCAGCCCACAATTACGTGGTTAGTCACGTAATTTTTCCTGTGTTTTTCTTTCCGTGTGGTTCGATCGATTTCGTCTTTTTAGAATACACAAATACTCGTTCAAATCGAAATCTTTAAACTAGGATAAGTGCATTTTTTCGACGCCATTTTTTCACATTTTCTCGGAATTGAGCGACATTTCCATAGAAATCCTGTTTAGTGAGGAATTGGGATGTTGGGTGGTACCGGAAATTGTGTGAGGTGACGGTCGAATGGAATGGCATCGGGAAAACGCGAAGGATTTCAACGTCAAGCGTTGTCGATTTATTAATGTCTCTGTTCGTTAAATTATAATATTTACACTGATTTGATAATTGTCTGCTGATTGTGTTGAGCATCTCTTCCACTTGATTATCACGCCCAACTGAACTGATAATTTACTAGATAATTAACGAATACTGATTGCTAAGGAAATGATAAACTCAATCGAGGAAGCTGACCTTGATGACTGACTGTACAAAAAGATTTTTTAGTTAAGAATTCAATCCCGTTAATACAAAGTAAATTAAAATAATAATAAAATAAAATAAATAAATAATGATTCAGTACTAATGGACAAATCGAAGTTTGTGGGCTATTGTCTTTTTCGAAATAATTTACCTATAAGCTTGATACGTCTACACATATTTACACAAAAAAATAGGTGAATCAATTATTTATATTAGATATACTTGGTTCATAATAGTATCGTTTTTCTCTACCCATGTATTTAATGTAGTCTGTAGTTTTCGGAATCCCGACAACTGGATCCAAACTTGATCAGATTCTCATGAGCTATTACCTGATCAGGCAAACCTGACGAATGCCGGGTGAAATACTGATCCAACTTCACGGCGGCCTGGAGCAATTTCCACTCGGATTACAGAAGCGTAATGCACATTGCGGGGGAATTTATTGGAATTTATTTATTCATATTGTTTTGTTTTCTTCGTTTTTTCTTTTTAGTGGGACACTGATGCATTATGGAGTGCTGAAAATTTCATGAGGGATTTTCAGTTTCTGATATTCCATCGCACGGAGCTTTGGGAATTCATGTTTAAGATTCATTGCGGGAGGATGGCTACGTGATCGATACATCGGTAGATGGGTTTATCGATTCAATGGAGATTTTCAGTGGTATGAGGGCCGAAGTGACGGGGGACTTCCTGATGAGACATTTCTCGGCGTGTAATGGTGATCAGGTTCGGAAAAGGGCCATGTAATCCTGTAGGGATTGGCGAATTCCAATTAAAGAGTTCGTGTAGGCTGCCTCGGAGAAGGGTATTTATTATAACCTCACGAGTTTTTTATGTCGCAATAAAAATTTTACGTCATTTCTTCATGAATGATAAGTTCTCCTCGGAAGAGTTAGAAGTAAAATAACGAATGGTAAAACGAGAGAGTAGTTTACGATTTTATGGCACATTTCTTCATTAAATATTTATTCATCTCGTCAGTTAACAACTCAGTTATCAGTCTTTATAAAAATGATGATTTTTCCTACGCTATTATTGGTTTTCTTTCAAAATATCTTGTGTATTTGCACAATCGTCATGTATTTTGAAGTATTGAATTGAGATATGTTGGTGATATTAATCAGAACCATCTATTAGACAGAAATAGATTCTACGAATGTCCGTGTTCTAGAGAGAATTCATTTATATCATAATATAAATGGATTCTCTGGATCATTGTGGATCTTTAATATCATCTAGTGTCTTAGATCACTTGCTTAATGTTTTCTCATTGGATTTCAGAAGGGGAAAGTGTAATCCGTTGGGATTGCCAGAACTTTTATGAATGAGTGGATATCGATATTGTATTTATTAAGATACGCGGTAGTGTATTGGCCAAGATAAAGTTTGAACTTCGATTGTTCCGAACTGCCTGAGTACTCCATTTATTTATACACCAATAAAATACAAATGGCTCTAAGAAAAATCTACAAAAGTATACATAGAGTGGACTAAAATTTCTACAGAATAAAAAATGAAATATCCATTTGATTTCCTGTTTTATCGTTATTTATTCTGAGATACAGGTGATTCGGGGCAGGTGATTCGGGGTTAGGTCGAAATGCCCCATGCTTGCTTGTCCAGTAATTTTTAAAGCGATTCACGTACGAATT